AATAAATAATTTTAAGAAAAAATTAAAGAAAGAAAATCATTGATTCTTGGGAAGGCATTGAAATTAAAGAGTATTAGGAAAGGAATCCTATAAGAAAGTGGGATTTTAGCATAAAGGAGATCAGAGAATCAAGGAGGCAGAGATGGGAAGAAAGGGCATTGTAGGCGTGGGAAGCATATAGTGAGATTGTCTTGACTTGGGAGATGGAGTTTCTTATTGGGGGAACAATAAACAGGGCAATGTCATTGAATGGAAAATTGGGTGGAATTGGGATGATAGAGGGAGTATGGTAAGGTGTAAGAAGATCAGAAGGGTGTTGTGAGGGAGCAGGTTAGGAAGGCAGGTTTAAATGCAAACATAGGATTTTATATTTAATTCTGGAGGTAATTGGGAGCCACTGGAGTTTACTGAGTATAGGGTGTGACATGGTTCGACCTATATTTTAGGAAGATCCTTTTAATTGCTGAATGATGGACTGTTGTGGAGAGAGACTTGTGACATACACGACTAGAAAGCTAAAACAATAATCCAGGCATGAAGAAATAAGGTCCTACACCTAGATGGTGGCAATGTCAGAGGAAAGAAGGTGATGTGTATGAGACATGTTACTTAGGTAAAATCAACAGGCCTTATTAACAGATTAGGTAAGGAGGATGAGAGTCCATGGGATTTTCTTGGCAAAAATGCTGGAGTGGTTTGCTATTTATGTTTTCATGGATCTTTTTGTCAGGCAATCAGAGGTTGTGACTTGCCCAGGGTCACACAGCTAAAAAGTGTCTGAGGCTGCATTTGAACTCAAGTCTTCCTGGCTCCAGGCCCAGTGCACTATCCAAAGAGCCAGCAGCTGCCTAACTAAAGAAATATGAGTTAGTTGAAAAATAAAAAAGGAAAAAAAAGGGGGTAGGACAAAGAAAAAAAGTCCATCTTTTTTTTTTTGACCCACTAAAGTACGTGTGTGTGTGTTTAAGTGTGTAAAAAACAAGGTTTGGTGGTTGTTGTTTTTTTGGTCAAATAACTTAAAATAATAAACCTTTATATGCTCAATATCTGGGGTCTTGAATGTTGAGCTTTTGAGATATGACTTGAGATTAGGATAATTTGATATATGATTATTTCCCACCAACTAAAGTAATTTTTTTTTCATTCTTGTGCCACTAAATTAGATCACCCCCAACACAATTTCCTTATGTAATCCTCCATGGTGTTTGACTTGGAGGTCTAAAGCCCTCATCTGTGATTTCAATCTTAATGTCAGTTATAAATAATAAAGCTATAATTCCATCCACCTCAGGGGTCATAAACTATAAGAGGAAAGCTAAATTGTGTTTGAAACATTCCCTAAAATGCATAGAAAAAGCTCCCTGTTTTCTGTTGAGCTAGAGAACCTTATTAAGATTAGCTGTGGTAAGATAAATTCAGACTGTTGCTATTACCAGCTGTATAATTCTTTATAGTTGACACATGTGCCCTCATATAAATGTATGTCCTTCAACATTGGTCACTTGATTTAATAGAAATTGAAACACAATTTGTACTAGCAAGAGAATTGAATTCAATTCAACAAATATTCATTAAACACAATTTGTACTAGCAAGAGAATTGAATTCAATTCAACAAATATTCATTTAGTACCTATTAAGTATAAAGTACTAGATTAGGTAATAAAAGGGATACATAGATAATGATAGGAATAATAATTGTTATTATGATTGTCATTATTTTGCAACTTTTGTTATCTTTTTTTTATATCACTTACATTTCCCAGTACATCTCTCCAGTCCAAGAGATCCTCATAACAAAGAAAAAAATTTGAAAAGAAGGAAAAATTTGGCAAATGTTACCAAAGCTTTGAAAAAAGTCTATAACCTTACATGTGTGTTGTTATAATAATTTTAATATCCCACACCTCTCTCTCACTGAGCTAGCTTGACGATATCCATCTGCCCTCATACTGACAGGTCTAGGTTTCCATCAAAGACTACAACTCAATTCTACTCATTTCCTCTCAGGGTCTTAGAAGTAAGCCTCTTTGCTCACCATATTAGCTTTTGAGCCCATTTACATAAGCCAGGTAACACAAAATGATGAAATTTTTAGATCTTAAAACATAATGACTTAATCGGTAATAAGGCAAAAACAAATAATATTAACATAGGTCCTCAAATCAGTAACATATCATAATCCATGCACAAACCTAGATCACACTGTCCCATCAATGTACTCAATTGCAGTGGTAGCAAATACACAAATTCTTATAGAAACTTGACAGTAAAGCACATGAGGAAGGAAAACATTTATGTACAGGGTAGCCCACAGCTCTGGATTGCCAAATGCGATGTCATTGGTCTATAGAGCTATACCACCCTAAGTCATTCCAGGAGTAACTGCTTTCTGTTGGTCTTTACCACCCTCCAGCTGTTTGTTGTTATTCAGTCATTTCAGTCACGTCCAGCTCTTTGTGACCCTATTTAGATTTTTCTTGGCATAGATGCTAGATTGGTTTGCCATTTCCTTCTCCAGCACATTTTACGAATAAGGAAACAGAGGCAAACAGGATTAAGTGACTTGCACCAGGTCACACAGATAGTAGATGTCTGAGGCCAGATTTGAACTCAAGTCTTCCTGACCCTGTCACCTAACTGTCCTGTCTCCAGCTGGACAAATCCTCTAATCCTCTATTCTTGAAACAGCATCACATGTCCAGTCTCTTTCCATTTACAGTCACCCTTTGGGAAAAAAAAAAGCCTTGGAAAAGCATCACAAAGGTCATCAGGCTGAACTTACTGGGCATTACAGCCCAGCTCAGCATATCCAGCTGCTCACTCACTAGGATTCTGCATCTTACAATCATAATGGAACTTCTCCTCACCTCACCCCACCCCGGAAAAAAAAAAAAAAAGCTATAGTTAACTCTGAGCCAGGCAGAGAAGCCTAACTACTTCATTCATTACTGTTCTCTTTCATCCAATTAGACTCCAGAACCTCTTCCTGTATAACAAAGCAACTCTGAGACTTCTCTTCCCCCTTCCTGCTTTTCACTCATAAACTAGAAGGAGGTGTTCTGCAAAGAAAAATGGGTGTTTCTGAAGAGATTCACTCTATGTGGCTCTAAAGGCAATAGCTGCCATTCTGTAGCCAGTCAGAAACAAGCAGTCAGTTTTCTTGTGGACTGCTATTTTCTTCATATAGTTCTGGGAAAGCTACTTTTAATTCCTTTTTCCTCTCCATCCCTGCCTCAGTCTTCTTCTGTTCATTCTTGACCACCCCAGCTTCAGCCTTTACACTTTGTATCTCTCAGTGACTTACAACCTTGCTTCATATTACTCAGTGGTTCTCAGCCTTTTTATATGAGTTAAAAACTCACCAGATTTCCCTTATGAAATCAATGATTCTCATCTACTCATTCTCCAGATTCTAAAAAAATTAAATGATTTTTCAGTCTTACCCTCTTAAGTCTAAAAACAATTACGTGGAAATGACCATAGTTCCTTGAAACTCTTAGATCGCAAAAGGATTCTCCTCAATCTTTGTCCTTCAAACTGTGTTTACATATTAGCAGTTTTTAATAAAAAAATTTAAACTATGAAACTCATCACATACTAAATAAAGAATATTTTACATTTATAACATAGGTATTTTTCTCTCCCAATTTCTCCCATTTAAAAACTGTTTTTTTACACACACATATTTTAGCTGTTTTTATCAAAACAAAGTTATTTTCCCACTTCTTTCAATTATTATGTTTTTCTATGAAAGGTAGTACCCTATATCCTTTACCAGTTTATGTAACTCTTTCTTTGTACAAAATTTATTCTGCCTTTTTTTTTTAACACTACATTACTCTACATGAAAGGGCAGCAATTTAAAGATACAGTACTTTACATATAAGCAAAAGAACAAATGAATGAAAAACCATTTGTTAAACATTTATTATATGCCAGGAATTGAAGTGCTGATGCTGGAGACCAAAAAAAAAAAAACACCCCATGACAGTCCCTTATATGTGTGTGAATACACATGTATACATATGTATATACACACATACGTATGTGCTCATGTATGTTTATATACAAAAATAGTATATACATATATGCACATATGCATATATACACACACATATATATGAAGAGAGAGGGGGAAGAGGGAGAGGGAGGACTGTTAACTAATGAGTTATTTGAAGTGAAAGCTGCACGGATGGTGAATAGAGCTGCTTGGGAGAAGATTGACAAACAGCAGGAACATTGGCAAATATTCATCTGTTTATAGTTCCAAAACTACAAAAGTTAGGGATTAGAAATCCCAAGCAAAGGGGGTTGGTGAGAAGATACCTAGGAATTAAAGTATTGTACTGCCACAATGTCCTCCACCTCTGAGAAGAGAAAGAGAGGAGGTACCTTTTCATTTAACTTATTTGAAGCTAAGCTTGTTTATTATAATTTTATAACATTTGGTTTCATTTGTATTTTTATTTCCATTTCCATTGCTGTAGTCATTGCATATGTTTTCCTGGTTCTGCTTTCTTTAGGGTGAGGGATAGTATCCTTGTGATTCTGCTTGCTCCAGCACTTAGCATAGTGCCTGGCACATTATAGGGACTTAATAAATATTTATTGATTGATTGATTGATTGATTGATTCACTCTGCATCAGTTCATAGAAGCCTTCCTGTGTTTCTTTGAATTCCTCAAATTCTCCCTTTCTTATTATGCATTAGTATCTCACTGCATTCATCTAACTAAGTTCAGTTCAGCCATTCCCTAACCAATGAATACCTCCTTCCTTCCTTCCTTCCTTCATTTCTTCTATCCTTTCTTCCTTCCCCCCCCCCCCATTCACTTCATTTGATGATCACTGCTTTCATTATAGAATACTGCCTCTGGTTACAACGCATCTTGGCACACTGATAGCTCACAAGGTTATAGTTAGGTCACTGTACTGCTAATAGCATTTGGATGTAAAAGAAAATCTCTAACTACGTTTTCTTTTGTTTCCTAATAATAGTTGTTACTGGAGCATTTGGAGTGCCTTGTTTCAAGACATGAGCGGTCACTAAGAATGACGGTGGTGAAAAGGCAAGCCCAGTCCCCATCAGGAGTTTCCAGTGAAGTGGAGGTCCTCAAAGCCCTGAAATCCCTGTTTGAGCACCACAAGGCATTGGATGAAAAGGTACAGTATGGAAAGACACTCATATTCAACTTAACTGTGCTCTCTCGTTCATGACATTCTTACTATCATCCATTGAAGCTCATGTCTTCCTAAAGTAAGTCATTCAAAGAGATTTCCCCAAATGGGCACGAAAAATTCAGAGTTTACCAGGGTCTTTGATACTCCAATTGAACCTTATCATAGGCCTTTCATCAGTCTGTTATCTGTAGCCCAACAGAGTTGGTCATATGTAATGTGAATTTGTAATTTTATAGTGCTGGCCCAGATACCATATCAGAGCTTAACATATTATTGTAGGGTTCTTTGTTTTTGTTTTGTTTTTTTTCCCTACCTTCTTCCTCTTATTCTTTAAAAAAAAAAAAATCTTTACTATAAGGGATAACTCTCTGGGAGGTGAGAAGGGTAGATTATATGGAGGAGACCTCAGCTATGAAAAACAAAAGCTATCACTGCAAATTTATTAAAAAAACAAAAACAAAAGAAGACTAAGCAATTTCTACCCTCCCAGATGGATATCCTTGCCTAAAGGTTGCATTTCTTAGCTCTACTATTCTGTAAGGCCTAGGCTACATTCTGTAAAAGTCACTCCATGTAACCAAATAAGATATCAGTAGAAAAAAAAATGCTTTAAGGCATTTTTTAAAAGTAGCTTTAAGCTTTTTCATTGCTGTTGCTGAAATAAATTGTAGTGACATATATAAGCCAGTCTGAGTGTAATACCCTTTGGAGATTATTAAGGTTTATGGTGTGATTTCAGTTTTGTAGAATTTAAAAGATTGAACTGAAAAAAAAAATAAGCAGTCTGTACTCTTTGGTGTTTTATAAGCTTAGAACTTTTTTGACATTTCATTGTGAAGTAAGTGATAGGTCACGAACATTCAATTCCAAACCAGTGATTATGCAGCAGTTTTATTCACTTTGTACCAATGCAGATATGTTTGCTCTTTATTAATACATGTATTTCTTCTTGGTCCTCAACCCTCAGCTATGTTTCATTCTTCCAGAAAGGGCTTATGTGCAACATAGGCATGAAGATAACCATAATTTTGCCTTCTAGATTTTTGAGAAATAAATTATATCTTGTTTTTCACCTCAGCTGTCAAAGTCAACAATTGGTTCATTAACATTTTTCATGTACCAGAATTGGATTTGTATATAGCAGGCCCTGCTAGCATCCTTTCCAATGTGGCAAAATTAGGCAGTAATATTTTCATCTCCTGTCATTACTTGCTACTTTGTTAAATTCTCACTTTTCTTGAAATGTGTTAAGGTTTTGTAATTTTTTTAAGTTGTTTTCAAAATGGGATGGGCTGCCAGTTTTAAGCTCATAAATAAATCTTATTTTGGACTTTTGGCAGGAAGAGGCTATAAATACAAATTTTACGAGACATAATAGACAGAGGGTCAGTCCTGGGTTCAAGCCAGAGTTTTGACACATAGTAACTATATGTATATGGGCAAATCATTCAGCCTATTAATGTCCCAGGAAATTCTATATGGTGATAAATTATAGGCAAGTTACTGAGCTGAGTGAAAGGACTTAATCACACCAGAGGTTCATTGTATCACTGAAATCACAGATTTGTACCAAAACAATTAGCAATGATTTAATATAAAAAAACAGACTTCAATCATGGTGTCTCTTCCTGAATTAAAGAAGGATTATTGCAAAGCACAGTCTTGCTGGGTATAGACAGATATATATATATATATATATACACACACATCTATAGATGTAGATATATATGTATATACACATATATACATATATGTGTGTGTATGTATGTGTATACACACACATATAGATAGATATCTGGATAAATATATGTATTTTATATCATGAAAGTAAGAATTATCAACAAATACAAACATTTGAATGTGCAAAATGGCTCCTATAAGGAGTACAATGTGTAAAAGAAAACAATTTTGAATAGATAGCAAAAACATTCGTCAAACACTTGCTATGTGCCAGGAACTATGCTAATCATTGGAGATGCAAAAACAAGTAAATAAGACAGTCCCTACCCTCAAGGAGCTTACATTCTAACAGAGGAAGACAAAAAATCTAAAGCTTCATTATCACTAGCTGATGGTGGGGGTGGGTAGGGAAAGTGGCTAACACAGGGCAGAGGGCTGCATGGAATAAGGTAAGTAGTTGATGTGGAGGCAGAGTAGAACAGAGAGTGAGCTGAAGTGAAGATCTGAAAGACTTTAGTACTCTGATCAAAGTAGCAACCAATCATGTCTTCAGAAGGCTGAAGATGAATCATGCTTCCTACCTCTTGACAGAGATGTGATATAGAAGTGAGGAATAAGGCAAACATTTTTGGACATGGACAGTGTCTTGATTTATTTTGCCTTCATATTACAGAATTTGTACAAGGGACAGCTTCTCTTTGGGGAGGGGAGTGAAATAGTAATAAATATGCCTAAAAAAGAGCAATGTTACATAGTCATTTTTCATTAACACCTCTTCCTGCATCCCAGGAGAACTCTGACTCCATGATTTTATTAATAATCCAATTAAATCTAGAAGTCTGACAAGGTGATATTTGGTTTTATAAGGAAGGTAGAATGAAAATATAAAATATAACCTAGTCATAAATTGGATGGAACAGTTATTTAGATTAATGCTGAGATGATATAGTTTTTTTTTAATCTAATTCATTCTTTCTAAGGGCTTTCTAGTTCATTTTCAATTCAATTTAAATCTAATTCATTCTTTCTAAGGGCTCTTTGTAACTTTTGTAATGTTGAGAGAAAATGGTAAAATGTTGACTAAAGCAGAATCCCTTGATAATATTCAATGTTTTTTTTCTTATATTTATCTTTAGAGTGAAAACATTAAGCACAATTTATTGAAGTGGTACTAAAATAAGAGGTTAAAAACATAATGCTATTTTATGGATGTATTAGATAATTTATTCATGTGAAGAAATCTCTCCTGGCTCCCTCAAACACAAAGCTATTTAGTTAACTGATCATTTTTAATGCCACCTCCCAATTGATTGAATATTTCTCCTTTTTGGATCTTAACCATAGTACTCATGCTTCTCCCTCTCTCTTTCCTTTCTCCTCCCTCCTCTCTCTCATTCTTTCATGTACCTCTCTTCTCCAGTGAATCAAATGATCTCTGTTTCGGTAAGGATATTGTAAAGAGGATGCTGATAAAAGATAAACTCAATGTCCTCAATGGTCCCATTCGTCTCTAAGATTCCAGTCCTTATTCTCTTCATCCTTTAAAACACAAAATCCACTTCGCAGGCTAATGATCCAGCTTAGCCACAGAAGCTACCCTCACATCTTAATGCAAAATGCAGATGTTTTCTATCTAACTTATTTCACTCTCAGACTGACTAAGCTATACCCTCTGATCACTGCATCGAATTCATAAAACATGTTTTCTTTACATGTATTTTTTTTTCTTTTTGCTTCACTTTTGCCTTTCTTAATAAACCTTGTGCTTAAAATAATGCCCAGCACATAGTAGGTGCTTAATAAATGCTCAATGACTTGACATTGAGAGGCAGACTAGTTGTCATAATTTAGAGACGGAATATGAGAATAGTATGTAGTTGTCTCAAGCATTCCCTTCTTTCCCCCATAAAACATTATATTAGTCTACATCCCATAATACTGCCTATTGAGTAATCTAATTAAATACTATAACTTTTTTATGCATGTAATATGCCTCAGTTTCCACAACTTTCAAAGGAAAGCATTAGATTAGAAGGCTTCTGAGATCTCTTCCAGCTCTGTATCTATGATACTATGCTACCATGTTATATTCTATACCAGGGGTGAGGAACCTGTGGCCTTGAGGCCAGATGTGGCCCTTCGACTGAATCCAATCTTTACAGAATAAATCCTTTTATTAAGGGGATTTGTTCTGTGAAGTTAGGCTTCAGTCAAAGGTTCCCCACCCCTGTATACCAATATGCTACTCTTAATGCTTTATCTTGGTGTGAAGAGGACCTTGAGTTCTCATTGCCTCTGTCACTGGATCACAGACTGGCAGATTCTACAAACCTGGGCACATCAATGAGCTATGTGTTTAGGAAGATCGCAGCTAAGTGTGGGGAAGCTCATCCTTACAAAAAGGTCAGGCACTGTGAAGTCACATTTTTGCACATAGAAATTCATAAAAACACCAACTAAAAAAGCAGTCAATTATCAAGTATTTAACAAGTGCCTTCTCTTTGTCAGGTACTTTGTTGGGCACTAGAAATATAAATTTAGAGATATTTTCTGCCTTTGTGAAATTTACATTAAAAGGCATGAAGATAATGCATTCAGGATTGGGGAAAGGAGTACATAGTGATAATCTAATGGATCTTTGAAATAAGCAATATTCCGTGTATTCAAAATGATAAAATTTTAAAGCCCAGTGGTATGAGTGAATGAATGAAAAAATATCATTGTATCACGCACTTACTGGCTACCAAGTACTGCACTCAGTGATCAGGGTAGACGTATAAATGTGGAGACAGTTCTTGAGACCCAAGGTTATCAGTGAAAACAACATACATAGTGGGGTCGTGGCCAAAGAGATAGATACTTTGGTTTGTTAATTTTCAGGGCTGGTGAATGGAGACACAGGGGAGTAGATCGACATGTACTTTCCTTTAGTAATAACAATATCAATCAGATTACAGTTCTACACCTAGAAGAGAGGGTGGTTGGCTAGTGAGAAGATAGTGGATAGTAAAGTGAATGATATCAGAGGCCACCTAGATATAGTATACCACATGAAGCACTCTCATTGGGTGGGAGTGGGGGTTGTGAATTTTGGAGATGAAAAGTGCTTAGCCTTCATCTAGGGCATGAAAGGATGGAAGGGAGTAAAGTGAGGCATGGCTGGGCCTACTTTGAAATTGTGAGCCACATAAGGCACTTCTATGGAATCTGCCTCTGAAATATGGGGTGTGCTTCTGATCATTTCTTTTTCAAGGAGGATACAATAAAATTACAATTACTAATCAACTTGCATATAAAGATAG